GGGGGGGGGGGGGGGGGGGTTATGGCATGCCACCCAACCAATAGCAGAGAAGGCATGACGGAATCTTTAGACAGAGAGGCAAGTAAAGCAGCAAAATTACGTAATGGCCCAGTATGATTGCGAGTGTGAGTTTGTAGGGCACATGGTTAAACCCGGAGCTGACTATCATTGCATGATCAAATCATCAAGTTTGATTCAGATATGTAACTAAGGGGTAGTGTTTATGTAATAGTTTAGTCTGATGAACCCACATCCATAGGGGGAAATACTGAATATGCATAGATTGAAACTGCTTGGGCCCATTGGATAATGTCAGAAATCTGATGTGATCTTTGAGAGGGAGGAGTTATGACAAGCTGCCCATCCAACTTACTCGAACCATCCTGACCACGTAGCTCAGATGGCAGAGCATTGGGCTAGTATTCCAAAGGTCGTAGGTTCGATTCCCACCGTGGCCGGGCATATTTTTCAAGGTCGCGCCCGGTGTGGATATACACTCAGAGTAACATCACAAACATCATATTCACCTGAGTACACAACACCAACACAGAAAAAATCATATTAGTAGATTACATTGGTATTGAAGGAACTAGATTCTGTTCCGAAATATCACTTACTCAAACCGTCCTGACCGCATAGCTCAGATGGCAAAGCATTGGGCTAGTATTCCAAAGGTCGTCGATTCAATTCCCACCGTGGCCGGGCATATTTTTCAAGCTTGCGCCCAGTGTGGATATACACTCAGAGCGACATCACAAACATCGAATTAAAACTGTTGGGGAAATGGACATTGCTACGCAGTAACACCAAGCTATACATAAGCGGTTTGTTGTGCATAAAGTAGCTGAGTAAAACAAATAAATGGATTACGGTTTCTGGCAGTCCCATTAAGATAAATGATGTGACCGAGCAGCTTAATTCAATGTGTGAAGAGGCAGCCATAGACTTAATCAATGTTGATGAATGCGGTGTTGACTTGTTGAGCAATGGTGATCATGCTGAAGCAAGTATTTACAAACTTACTGTTGATGAAATTGTCACAGGTATGCTTAACTAAACCAAGCTCAAATATTGAGGCTGAAGTCAAATTTCTTGAGTCACAATTTCTTTTCCTCAATCGGGCGACCAACTTTCCTTTTTGCGGCGTTTAGTATGGCCTTACAAAACTTGTTTGTGACGGGATTGGGGTTATCGTCTGGTAAGAGTGTATGGAACCATTTTATTGCTGCACTAGCTATGTTCAATGAGGAGATGGAAGTACAGGCTTGGGAGATCTCATGTATATACAGTGTGATTGTAGCAGGATGAAAAGGCAAACTCAACAAAATATTCTTTTCACTGCACCATTGAAAAAACTTTCGAATTGTACGCACATATGTTCTGGTCGTTGAATCCACTCTGGATTTCAAGGCCACTTGGAGCAAGACTTTCATGTTTTGTTTCACCACATCAGGCGCCTCCATTTACACGCAACATCTATAAAGTAAGCATAAGAACTTCATATCAGACCAACTCAGCTTCATCATAGAGTCCACATAACATAAACAACACAGCATATTTTAGGGCCAGTGCCCCTTATGTTCACCAGATGGCAAGTGCCTTTCAACATTCTTGTATAAACTGACAGGCCCTCTTGTTGCTGGCCAGTGCCGACCAATGTTATGAGTTAACACTACTTGCCGCATATTCCTTGCGCTTCAACTCAAGTACCTCAGGTAATTTTGTCGCAAAATCAAACCGGATAGCAATAATATCACCGTGAAATCGTTTTGACCCAAGTAAAGAATTACTCTTTCTACCGTGTTTTAAGAAATACTGTCCGTTCAAAGTTGTATAGTCTGAAACAAAATATCTATATTTGCATGCTATCAAAGGCCAATAATTGGCGGATGGCCAAAAAGGTATTACTATCATGACTTTAGCCTGTTGGGATTTAAAATAATGCAATCCTTTGGATACAATAGAAACTGGTGGAACAGCCAAACAATTCTCATTCTGTAATTTTTGAATGAAAAAATCCACACCGGATGTACCTGGGTTCCAAAATCACGAAAAATACCTTGTTATTGTGCAATTATAATGATTTGCAAAGCAATCAACTGTATGTGGCCTCCATTGGGCTTCTAACTGCATGTTTAAACAAAGCGTCTGTAATTTGCCAATCATCTGGATCAATTAAACGATTTATAAAATCAGCTGGCACATTTGTGTTGTGCGGTATCCATTGAATATCAATATCAATATGCTGATAGTTTGATCAATGCAAAGATACTGATAGCAATCTTTTGTAATTCCAATTTCATACTACCTACATCTACTATTGTTGGAACTGCTTGATTATCTGTATACCACTTAACATGGGTCCACCGAAGTATGTCGGCAAATGATCTTAATGCAAACTCAATTGCTGCTAACTCTCTCCAAGTGGAACTTTTGCAACATTCATTTACATCCCATATTTTATGGTGATTTAGAGTGATGACCGAGCCACATCCTCTTTCGCTTACATCAGAATAAACAAAACAATTCAGTTCACAGTGGAGAAAACAATTCTGTCCATTAAGTTTTACAATATTCTCTTTCCATAACAATAGTTCATGTTTACTAAATTCGTCTAATTGTAATATTCTATCCCAACTTAGAGCACTAACAACAGACATGGGAACAATGCCATGTTATAATACGAGCAATATTACCTATGACAGCCCCTGTAGAAATTATTTGCCCTGTAAACGTGCAGCCTATTTTCTCAATGTTTCTGCTTACAATATTGATACTGCGATTTGCAGTTGAGCTTAGAGACAGGAAGTTTTACCGTACAGTTTGATCGTTGAAATGCACAAGTTACCAAGGGCAAATTCAAATGTTGTCAAGCGGAAATGCGAATGTTGCCATGGGAGATTTAGGCAATTTTGGCCAATCACAGTGAAGAAGGCGTTACCCCAAATCAAGCGCATAAGTTCAAACATAGTACTATAATAAAGAAATCTGTTCAACAACGCTTTATTATATATTTGTTTCTTGTATAAAACATGTAGATTATGAGTATATTATGTGGTAATAAAGCATGGAAAATGTAAGTAAAAGGAAAAGAACATGTTAGAGGCAAACCGCTCGGAAATGACCTAAGATCTTTGATTATTGATGAAGTTATACATTCTGGAGGGAATATAATAACTCAAGAATACCCTGGGAATTTTTCTGCAATAGCTAAACAGTTCTCTGTTCATGACTCGACTGTAAAAAATATTTGGAGCAATTACTGCGAGAACAAAACACTTGATCCAAAAAAGAAAAAGGGCGGAAATCCAAGCAAATTACATGATGGTGATTTGGAACTTATCGAAACGTTAACAAGGATTCGTCCAACTATCAGTCTAAACAAACTAAAAGATGACGTAGAATTGTATGATCCAAAGCCTGATGGAGTATCCATTTCAGCTATTTCCAGGGCGTTAAAACAAAGAATGCCTTCTGGTTTGCAGTATTCACGAAAGAAAGTAAACAAAGTTGCTATCGAACGATTTACCCCAGTTAATATGGTCTATACGCAGATGTTTATAAACTACCTGCATTCTAAGGACCCACTCAAGTTGAAATTTTTTGATGAAGCAGGATTGAAATTGCCACATCACGGGACAAGATATTACGGACATGCTCCGGTAGGCGAGAGATGTATTGAACTGGCACGTTATCATCAAACTCCTAATATAACACTGAACCTTCTCGCAGGTTTAGAGGGAGTTGTGTATGCTAACACTGTTAAAGGTGCTGCTAGCACTGTGCATCTGTTGCAGTTTTTCGGAGAGGCTGCACAAGCTGGAAATGTAATTACTCAAAGACCAGCGCTTGAATATGGGGATATTGTTGTGATGGACAATTGTCCAACCCATCATTACGATGGCGAAGAAGTATTAACTGAGTTTCTGAATGAAATAGGTATAGAGCTTGTTTATACCCCTACATATTCCCCCGATTTTAATCCCGCTGAGTTTGTATTTGGAAAGATCAGGACTGAAATGCGGTATGCTTTATGGGAACTGACAAATCGAAACTTGGTATTATCCGTTTATGAAGCAATTGACAAAGTTACGGAACAGGATACGATTGGATTTTTCAGGGCGACGTCGTACATTTAAAAAACATGATCAAAAACCGCTTTATATTAGTAACTGAGAACTTTAAGTTAATAAAAAATGTTATATACATAGTCTGATAGTCGTAGCATATCGGTTTGTTTATTACAATAAAATGTAACAAAGATCATTGTAAATACAAAATCGTATTAAAATAGAATATGACGCATCAACATTTGTAAAAATTTGACAAGTTTCTAAAGGGAAAAATGCGTGAAATATTTCATTGCCAAACGTTATAAAAACGAAATGCTTTATTTTAATATTACATATCATTATTATCTGCATGTATAATACAGTTTTATGTCCAAAATATAACTGTAAAATATACAGAATTCAACACAACCGAATTAATAAAAATATCAAAATCGCAAAGTCAAAGACAAAGTTTTCCAGTGTTACAGTAATTTCTATATTATTGGAGAATGTTCGGTTTATTCACTCATGCATCACTGTAATATTCGTCTTCCTCACAACTGGGCGAAATTGTCTCCGAAAGGGCGGCATGAGCTAAAATATCAAGACAATTAGCCGCGGGTGCTAGAGGTGGATAAGTTCTATTACTAGAAATTGGAGTTACATGAGCAGTTTGCCTCATATCTATAGTTCCCCTGTTCTCGTGGTTTATGATACCTGCGGCTGTAGTAATAGTATAATTGTTTATTGCAGAATCAAAATTTTCTTGATTCCAACTTGAAAGTTGCTTCGTACCATCACAAGGCACTAACACGTGAATCTGCTGATTGACGCTAGGGAATAAATGCTGCGTAGCTGCAGGCTGGGTCGTGACTGGATTTGTTTCTTCTATTTTGCTAGATTGGTTCAAAGCATTTTGCAGCTCAATAGCGAGCACAAAATCTTCCTGCTCTTGTTTGCTACTAAATGAACTCGGTGAAGAACCATCTGTCAATTTTGATCTCTTAGGAAATTTTATACCATGGTCGATAAGGATTTCCTTGCGTGGATTGTCGTAAATCGATCTTTTTTCAAGATTTTTTGTACATTTATTTAGCCCCGTCTTTAGTAGTTGAGGTATTTCAATTTCCGCACATCATTCTATTGCC